GGGTTTCTCGGAAAGAACCTACGTCGCCGGGCGACAACTAAAATTCAGTTAATATTTTATTATAATCGATCCTGACGAATGAATGAATTTCATAAATGAATGAATTTTATAAATGAATGGTTTTTACTGCCGAATTACTAGAATACAATATTTCAAGGCAGATGACGGATCTATTCGATAATTTTTATTCGAATAGTTTTCAACGAATGTTTTCTTACTAACTATCGAATTATTCGAATGAATTGCAACTATCGAATGTTTCGATAGTATTCATTCGATAGTTCCCACTACTAGTTTCCATACCTATCTACCACAGATTTTGAATCTAGAGCAATTTTCCAATAAAACGGGAACTAAGAGGGCTAGTGTCGACATGGCAAGTTTCTAGTGACAGTTAGTAGCTATTTTCAAAATCGAAATTAGTTTATGAACTTATTTAAATTTATACCAGTTTACTTTTATTTAATTTAACCCTACAATAGTTTAATAAATAATATTTAATAAATATGTATTTATTATTATATCAAGAAAAACGAAGAAGTAGTTCTTTGATTTATTTTACAATGACTTGTAGATATATATGGATTTTCTGTAAAAGAGCTAATTGGGGCAAATTCATTTTCTTCACTTCCAACGACAGGTTTCGGCCTAACAGGTTTTTTATAAACCACACTACCAGCTCTGCGAAATAGGACAAGTAACTTTTCAAAGGAATGCTTATCAGGAAGATTCTTATTTGGAAATATTTGAACATCAGCTCTTGAGGCCAAGAAACAATTTTCCTCACAAAATAAAATCACTAGTAACATATCCATTCGTTGCGCCAGCAGATACTGCTTTATTTTTCTTGATAAAATAATGAATACTTTCTTATTAAACTATATTGTAGGTAAATTTAAGTAAACTGTTATAGTTATAAATAATAATGTCCATAAACTAATGTCGACTTTGAAAATAGTTACTACTGTCACTAGAAAATTGCCATGGCGACACCAGCCGCAATCTTATTTTAAAATCGCTTTTTATTCAAAATCTGAGCTAGATAGGTATAGGAAACCCTAATATAGTTTGAAAGAGGATTAAAATCTGCTTCGGTTTGTTTTAAAAAATACAGGGTGTTGTATTTGAAATAACGAAGTTTTTATATAAAATAAATCCTTAAAATAGATCAGTAATTTTTGATACCCCTGTATAAATTTAAGGAAGCAATACCATTTTTTAATAAAGTTTATTTCTTTACCTTTGAACTCAGCACAATAATTAATTCTGAAAAGTAATGTACAGGGTGTTAATAATTTATTCTATTGTAGCATACAAATCTAAATATCTTTAAATATCTCAATAACCAAAGATTTTAAACATATTTAACCCTTATAATAAATGCTTTTTTTTGGCCCAAGAATCCCAAAATGAAATAAAATACCGGGTGTTCCATAAGAAATAATATAACTTTGGTATGGATCTTGGTTCTGAAACACCCTGTATACTTCAAAATAATTTTAAATTGTGCTCATTGCCTCCCCACATATACCCATAAAATATTTTGTTTCTACATCTTTCCGTTTTTGTATAATGAACCGAGGCGAATGAGGTGCGCCACCCTGTATAATAACTATCTATCTGATCCGAATAACTATCTAGTCCACATGTATGATATTTACCAATGCATTGACTATTTCGTTTTCAAATATCTTGAGAACCGTTTCTCGTAGAGATTTTTACTAAGAGACATTTTTTACATAAAAAAAGGCGAAAGTGGATTTTCTTACTCAGTAGTGGGTAATACAGACCCGTACGAAAAGTTATTACTCTATTAAATTATATTGACATCGAAATCAAATTTCTCATGTCAAAAAATCAAGACACCAAGTTTCGTAGATGGATAGAAGTTTCTTTCTGAAATTAATTGGAAAAACTCGATATAAGAATGATATTACTATACCCTGTACAAAGATATTTTCATTTTTATGATTTTGCGTAAATAGATCTTTATGGCTGAAGAATTAAAAAACGGCCCCGAGTACGGGCGCCCCTTAAATGGGGCAGGGGTGCGAAGAATCTCCCGTTCGGCCACAATTGACCTTAAATCCAAGCTTAAGATAGGTACTTGGAACCTACGTAGTCTATACGAAGCGGGAAAAACCCATAACACAATACAGAAGATGAAAAGACTCGATATCCCGATCCTAGGGGTTAGTGAAATGCGCTGGCCAAACTCCGGTAAATGCAACATAGAAGAACATACTGTGTACTACTCAGGAGAGGACAGTAACTATCATATCAATGGTGTTGCTTTTATAGTTTCCAAACATGTCGAGAAGTGCGTTAAATCCGTGTGTTTTAACATATCCCTATAAAAAAACAAACTAGATAAAAAATCAGGAGCATTTAAGTGATCTATTAATTGATGAATGCACACTGTATTCACCAACTAATAGAATCATATCAACTATCTCTGATGTAGGATAAGTTTCCATTTTCGGAAAATTTTTGAGTATTATTTTTTGTTTTAACTGACACAAAATGATAACTAAGTGGTTGCTACCCCTACTGTGGAGCTTGGTAGTGGATGAACTACTGGAAGAATTAACTCTAGCGGGAATACACTGCATAGGGTACGCAGATGACATAGTCATCATTGCACGGGGGAAACATGAAGGCACCCTGTGTGATATTATCCAAAGAGGATTCCGCATCGCTGAGAGATGGTGCAGGACTGTCGGGCTGAGTATTAACTCAGATAAAACCGCAGTAGTGCCATTCACCAGAAAGCGAAGTTTGAAAAACTTGAAAAGAATCCATCTAGATGGAAAGGAAATACTGCCATCACAGGAAGTGAAATATCTGGGAATAACCCTGGATAGTAAACTTCTCTGGAACAGGCATATTAAGAACATTACCAGCAAAGCCACAAAGGCTCTCATGATATGCAGAAGACTGGCGGGAAATAGGTGGGGCTGCGCCCCTAACATTTTGCGCTGGATGTATACCATGATAGTAAGACCCATGATTACTTATGGAGCAGTTGCTTGGTATACAAAACTAGAGCAACGTACAGCAAGGCAAACCCTGTGCAAAGTACAGAGACTGGCATGTATCTGCATCACAGGTGCCATGAGAACATGTCCAACAGCAGCAATGGAGGTCATTCTAGACCTAACACCACTGCATATTGTCGTCGGTAGTTATGCCAATGCGACAATGATTAGAATGGTCATTGACGGAAACAGTACTGGGAGAATTTTCAGGTCAGGGGCTTGGAACACCCTCAAAAAGAAAATTCCACTTCTCCAACTCCCAGTGGATGACATACCAAGAATTTACAACTTTGAGAAACACCTCACTGTAGTATTGAGTAATAAAAAGGATTGGAAGAAAGAAACGCTTACTCAGCATATAAAAGACCATACCATCACGTGGTATACTGATGCTTCCAAAACCAAAGCAGGGACAGGGATAGGAGTATTTGGGCCGAAAACTGAATACTCCGAACCAATGGGCACCTACCCCAGTATCCTTCAGGCAGAAATTTGCGCTATCGAAAGATGCGTACAATTTATCTTGGATAGGAACTATCGAAAACAGGAAATTGCCATCCTATCCGATAGTCAAGCAGCACTTAACGCGATCAACTCAGTAACCATCAATTCGAAGTTGGTCAAAGAATGCCTGGAGAAGCTCAACAAATTAGGCAAAGAAAATAAAGTCCTCCTACTCTGGGTGCCTGCTCACCAAGGGATAGAAGGCAATGAAAAAGCAAATGATCTAGCTAGAAAAGGAGCGAACACTCCACTAACTGGACCAGAACCGTTCTGTTTTCCAAACGGGAACCAACTGAAAGCGGAACTGAAGAATCTGGAAGACTCAATCCGTAACTTGGAATGGGTGTCCTCCAACGGTCTAAGACACTCGAAAAAGTTCCTTAGAACTTATGACCGAGAAAAATCAAAGGTTTCCCTTGATTTAAGTAAAAACAATCTTCGGATTGTCACGGGGTTTCTAACAGGACAATGTCTCCTCAACGAACACCTCAGTAGGCTCAAACTGAGAAACAACGGCGAATGCAGATTTTGTGGGGGAAATGGGGAAACACCAGAACACCTTATCACTGAGTGCTCCGAGACGACGACCATTCGTGCCATGAACCTTGATACGTCTGATGTCGAGGATGGAGAGCTGGCCTCTGTGGAGCCGTCTCAGATACTGGCTTTTCTTAAAGCCCTGCGACTGTATGATGAGTTATAACTCGTTATAACTCAAGAAAGGGGAACACACAATAGATCTATAAGGTCGCGGTGATTAACTCCCCTCCTAAACATTCTACATTCTACAAGTGGTTGCTGAAGCTGAACTAATTACACAGCTATGTTGAAGCAACGTCAGGTATATCACAGCCACCTAAATTGTATCAAATAATAAAGATCTCACACTAAATCATAAAAATAAAAATATTTAGGTTAGGAAGTTAGTAGTAAAAATTGTTATTAATTTTTGGAAAATGTTGAATAAGTCAAAAACCTTACATTTCAGTCATATACTTCCCTAATAAAACTCACCTTTATTTTTATCCTAGAATCCAAAAATCAATTAATGTATAGGGTGTTCCGTTACAAAAAACACAACTTTGATGTGTAACTTTTTTAGGAACACCCTGTAGAACTCTCTATATTTTTAAAAAGTGCTCTGAATTAACCCACATATGCTCACAAAATTTCATTTGGTCATACAAACTGTCGTTCTCCTTGGAGCCTCTACGTCGTATGAGAGGCGCCACCCTGTATACGATTTTTTTACTTATTTTTATTAAGTTTCTTGAACACAATTCGGACCACCCTGTATTTCTAATAACTAATATGCAAGAACATTAAAGATAAATGTGTCGTTTGTACTTGTTTTGTAATAAAAAAATAACTATTTTTTCAATTACTATGAAATATTTTTTTTGATAATAATGAATTTTGATAATAATAAATGGTAGTTAATATTATATTTTTCTTTAGGCTCAACCACAACTAATTCCTCAAGTAGCAAGTATATTAACTCCAACAGGACAGTTACAACCTATACAAATTGCTACATCTTTGCCTCAGCCACAACAGCAGCAGCCCCAACAGCAGCAACAATCTCAAACTCCTGCGTCATCGGTTGCACAACAAGTTTTCACAGGGGACGGAGGCGCTCAATTGACATTTACAGGTATCTTTTACATAGAAATTTATATTAGAAATCATTGGTATAACATAAAGAATGCGAATAAAACATTAAAAAATGCAATTCTAATGCATTGGCTTCTAACCAATTTGGACCAATCACAGTTAGTTGGCGCAATTACGGCTAGTGGAACATTTAAAATAACTGTTAACAAATAATAAATTTAAATAATAATATTTTTCGTCAAAATGAAGAATTTTTTTGACGAAACCACCCCGAATCCGCCACTGGTTAATACTAACTTATCTAATAAATAATAAAAATCAATGTCTAAACAAAGTTGTTTAATTTTTTTATAATAATTTTTATTTTGGTTCAGATGGTTTAATAAGTTTTCTGGCGTTTATCAAAGGGTTTATCTAAGCTTCTTTTTTGAGCTAAAAAGTTTTCTTTTTGAATAATACCATATGATCGAAAAAAAAACGACGTCTAGTTTGACTTGGAAATAAATATTGAAAACATTCCCGATATAATTTTACATACAAAATGACAGAGATCTTCATGCCATCGCTGACGCCGTTTTTTTCGATCATATTGTATTTTTGTTGTTTCCTTTAGGTCTTTATTATATTCTATCAAAGGTGCTATATATATACAGGGTGGTCCGAACTGTATTCCGAAAACTTCGCATAGCATATTCTGCAGATAAAAAAAAGTAAAAAAACTTTTCCAAATAATTCCTGAAGTAACGTCAATACTTGAATGAAAATTGGTGTCTTGTAGTTTTTTGACATGAGAAATTTGATTTTGATGTCATTATGACTCCTATTTGTAGAGAGCGCCACCTACATGTGTTTTAACTGTTTTGAAGAGTACTAACTTTTTGTGCGTATAGTTCGTTTTATCTGCAGAATATGCTGCCGAAGTTAAATTTACATCCATTAGAAGGGAAATTGCACATGTTATTTACGAGAAAAATAGAAAAGCATCACTTTACCAGAGACAACTTAGTTATCTCTGACTTTACTAAAGCAAACTGAAACGCTTCGTGTATGCATATGTGAATGCACAATCCGGTTGCTGGAACGGAAACGATCCGTGTATGATAATGTGCATCGACCTTTTACACTTGACTCTGCCTTACTTCTTTGATAATTTGGTCAATTACCACTTGTGGTGGTGATTTTAAATGCCTTGTTAAACTTTTTCCACTAAAATTTTTGATACTAAATTCTCAGGAAAATGCGATATTTTAGTTTTGCTAGAGTAAAGTCTAAGTAAAGGTCCAATTTCCTATATCTGGTTAGGATGAAATTATTTTTGCTTTATTTAGTATTCTGATTACTAATAATACGGGTGTGTCTCAAAAGTGGCTCACCTCCATAACTTTTTTATTTTTTCGGATAAAAAAAACGAGATTTGGTATGTTAGTACAAGACATAAATTAGGATTGATTGAAGTATTCAATTGTTTTCGGTTACTTCCTGTTTCACCGGAAATGACTACAACTTTTGATTTTGAAATGACCCCATCGGTATTTTTGTACTTTATTCGATAGAAAATGGCACTCTGAATCGAATGACGTATCACGTGTCAACATTAAACATTTTCACATATATGAATGTGATATTATGAGAATGTCAAAAGTTGACATATGGTATGTCATTTACTATCGAATAAAGTAAAAAATACCGAGGATGCCATTTAAAAATCAAAAGTTGTAGTAATTTGAGGTGAAACAGGAAGCGATCAAAAATAATTAAAGACGTCAATCAATCCTAATTTAGGTGATATACTAACATACCCGAGAACATACCAAATTTCGTTTTGTTACTTGAAAAAATAAAAAAGTTATAGGGGGTGTGCCACTTATGAAACGCACCCGGTATAAGTATACCTAATACATAATCTGTGCTATTAAGAACATTCTAACAAAATAAACCAAGTAACAATCAAACTTTAAAATAAACGGTAAAAATAAACGTCTTTAGTTTAGCTAACAATTGAAAATCATGAAAATAAGGGACAACAAACGGCAACGTTGTTGGGTGCCCGAGTAGACTAGTAGGACGTAGACGCTAGGTCAAGTTTATGGTTCAAGTTACGAGGCAAGTTTCACTTATCTATGGTTTAATTTAATAACCTTGGTCCCTGAGAATTGTTAACCTAGAAATAATATTTTCTGTCGTTTTGTCGAGTTAGAATAACCAGCTCTGTTACATTATCTTTTATTTTTTTTTAGCGGCTAATGGTCAACAGTTTACCCTTCCAGTTTCGAACTTACAAAACTTGCAACAAGTTAGGACAGTCGGAAATCTTGGTGGACTCGGTAGTATTATACAACTACCGAATATCCAAACTATGCCAACAATTCAAAATATTCCAGGTAATTGTATTTAATTTATAATGATATGAATTTATTTGAATATAATCTAAAATTTCTTTTAACTAGATATAAATATTATAATCCATGAAATATTTTTGTTGTTTGAATTTTAAAATAATATAAACTATAAACAAAGGAAAAGAAGGAAGACTCATATCAATAGAAGATTATTTTCCTTTATCTATGCTCATATCGTCGTTGTTGACAAAAATATGAAAACAAATTTAATATAAATATTGGATAATTATTGGAAAAACTGGAAATCGTCCGATTTTCACCAAAATTGGTATATACCATATCACTATATTTTCATTATATTATAGTTTATCTAAAAGCCACACTTGATTGTGGATAAAAAAATGTCCAAAATTTTACTGCAAAACACTTTTCTTAACAAAATAACAAAGAAAATTGAAACCACAAATCACATACACAAGAAGAAGTGCGAGCGCCTTGCTAAATATTGGAAAGTGAAATTGACGTTTAAATTTGCCACTGTTGACAAGTCTACTGCTACTAGCGCCCCCAATTTCGCTTGTGGAACTACGGACTAAATTGTCACGCATGGCGGGAAGTTTAAAAAAATAAAAAAATTTATTTCTTCATTTATTTTTAATTATGACATACACAAAAAATACACCATTTTTTAAAAATATGTTTAATATCAATATCAAATATACAACAGAAATTAATTTCACCACAATAAATTAATAAAATTAAAAGAATAATGTTACAAGTAGATCAAGAGACAAAATTAATTATAACAAAACTGAAAAAAATGTCGTCATAGATGGCTTAGAAATAAAAAAGATATATCATAATTTTGAAAGTAAAATTATATGGGAAATGTCTTCGATCATCATTTTAAGCCAACTGGACGATTATTTCAAACATACAAGCTGAGTTCGTTCATAGTGCTCTGAGAAATCTAGATAAACAAAGAATAATAAATTAAAAGTATTCCAGGGGAAAGGAGAGGAAAAACCTGTATCGTCTCTGATATCTGTCAGGGTATTGTTGAAAGTGTCATATTTTTGCTCGAAGTTTTCAAGTCGATCAAAAAGATGACATTTACAACAATACTTTGCCGTAACTTTCACAAATATCAGAGAGAGTACATACAGGTATTGCCTCTCTTTTCCTCTGGGATGCTTTATATCTGTTGTTCTTTGTTTATCTATATTTCTCAGAGCATAATGCCGAACACGACTACAGTATACAATAATTTCAATATCCTAAGTGGAAAGAAAAAAGATCACCTTTCTGTTTTGTACTATGGTCCCTTTCTTCCGATGGCTCATCTCGTTGATATTTAGGAAGGTATCCATAAAATATATATTTTACTATCGGTCCTGGCATGAAAAAATATAAAATTCAATTTGATTTGATGATCCTTTTCTGTCACCTATATCAGGAGAATGACAATGAGCATGTTAAGATGAAAAAAAAAGTTTATCAACACTTACCTACACGTTTGTCCGAGGAGTTTTATCAAAAACCTATATTTGCCTAAATAATTTATGTATTAAATTTGCAAAGCAAAATGCAGCGTGTAAACAAAAGAAATAAAATGGCGACAAGTCAACGTCAACGACCCGACAAGGAGAAAAGTGGTGTTCGAATAACAAATTATGGTTCACCAAAAATTGTTTTTGTCTCCTTTCAACGCACACTTTAGAAAGAAAAAGAGATGAACTGTAATACTGAAAGAACGTCAAGGTTTAATCTGTCACTCTTGTCAATCCTAGAATCCTAGAAAATCGCTTGTAGTCAAGTTTTCATTGCCAGTTCTCCCATAAGAAGTGTCATCCACCTGATTGAAACCATATGGAGGTTTGACATTTCATATATCCTTCTTTTTCTCTCCTATGCTATGAGAGAGACAAATATATTCTAGATCTAATCTAGAAATTTGAAAATTACAACGTTGCCAGAGAGAGAGAGAGAGAGAGAATTTCATATTAATATTTCTTTAAAGATTTAATTTAATTATGATCTCTTGATTTTTTAGGTCTAGGTAATGTTCAGGTGATTACACAACCGACCCAACCGCAACTAGCTGTAGGGCAACATATTCAGCAAGACCCCAATGACCCTAACAAATGGCAAATAATACCTCAAGTAACAGCAACAGCCGCTGCCCAACAGCCAACTCAGGTATAATACCACGCACTATTATGCGTATAATGCAGTAATTTATAATAGTAAGTTTATAATTTATTTTGTACTCTGATTAGGTTGCAACGTCTATTAGTGTTAGTACGGTGGAAGCAGCACCAGTGACTTCACCTTCGGCTTCGGATCCTAACCAAGGTGAACAAAAGCCAAGACTCAGAAGAGTAGCTTGTACTTGTCCTAATTGCCAAGAAGGGGAAAGACAACCAGATAGAAAGAAACAACATATTTGTCATATACTTGGATGTAACAAAGTATATGGAAAAACGAGTCATTTAAGGGCGCATCTAAGATGGCATACCGGTGAACGTCCTTTCGTTTGCAGTTGGCTATTGTGCGGGAAACGTTTTACCAGATCAGACGAATTACAAAGACATACACGAACGCATACTGGAGAGAAGAGGTTCCAATGCCACGAATGTAACAAAAAGTTTATGAGATCTGATCATCTCTCAAAGCATTTGAAGACCCACCAAAAGCAGAGACTAATGGTAAGATTTTCTTTTCAAAATCGAGATCGATTGACGTAATCATTTATTTTCTATTATTTATTATCAAGGAGCCTTGGAAAAAAATTGATTATCTAATGTTTTTCATGTTTTCCCTGGCTGGTTACGCACAAATCGTATTTTTAATCATATCTCAATTAATCTTTTTCAAATGAAATGACGGTGGTTTATTAGCATATTTGGTAAAGGCATTTTTTACGAATAATTTGGTATAGTATTTCCAGTCAATTAAATGTACTGAGACTCTTAATTCCCTTGTCCCGATGATGCCGACAAAGGCGCATTAAAAATTAAGAGTCCCAATCTATTCAAACCTTAGATCTTATAAACTTCGTGGATAAAGCTATGCTCAAATACGTTTAAAATAAAACGTATTTGGCTATGCCATATGTATATTACACACGACTTTGTTTACGGGACTTTCACATGCATTTTTCTATTTATTTCTTTCCAGAATAAGATTATCGTATAAACCTATCCTTCTCTCTGAATACGCTACTGAACATGCGTAGAATGATATTAGACATGAATTTTAACTTGGAGCGTTTTTTCTCTGTGTTGACAACAATTACTAAATATTGTATAGACCATTAAAACTTTTTAATCAAGATATAACTGATACATGCATTTATTATTTTGAAAATATTTGTCATATTATTTCAATATACTTTTTATTAGTGATGGGAAAAAACGATGACTTTCAATAATCGAGTACCTACTCCAGTTTCAAGCGATTTCAATAATCGAGCGATCACTCTAATGAACTTGTTTTTTTGTTTATATACCGTCATTGAACTATCGCTAAGCAAGTTACTGTGGAGCAGTTCGTGAAGAGTCAGGCTAGGAAGCGAGAGACCGGAGTTCGAATCTCGGCCGGGGCGCCGCGCCGCGCCGGGGCATAACTTTTTTATTTAATTTTTTAAATACTGTTGTATTCTGTAGTTTATTTTTGTAGTATAAAAAAGGAACTATTTATTCTGTTATTTTTTAATCTCCGGTATTAATATAAATTGATTGTTGGTACAATACCCCATTTAATATAAAATAATATTCTACTTTTTGAAATGTATCGGGCCCTAATTGTACCTAAAAGTAATATATTTTTACAGTGATATACCATATTGTAAACTATTTAATATTTCAGTCACTTAAAAAGTTAATTTGTATTGAATAATTGCCTATTAAAGGAAATTTGAGCTATAACCCTTGATGGGCATATTCTGGGTATGCAAGTACTTCCTTTAAATTTTGGGTTTCGTTCAACCTATTTATTCTCAAAACCTGAAACATCTACATATAAAAAGAAGCACAGGTAATAATACACCCTAATAATAAATAATATAATTTTCACCCTTGGAATTACTTCTATTACAATTACAATATATTCATCTGCATTGGCATTTTCTACATTTCGATTGGAAACAATCAACTTCCCAACATTTTTAAATGATGTAACAATTCCTCTTGTGGTTACTTTTCCATAGATATCCTCATCTCTGCCCCCATAAACATCGCAAACTAAAAACCTAATAAACAATTTTATACCGAATACCGTGAAGCGGGGTGACTGCCCAATTCTGAATTTTAAATCGTGTTTATTTCAAAAATTGTTGTATTTTCTCAAATGCGCATGGTCTATGCTATAAGTGGGTAAATAAAGACAACACAACAATAATACGCTTTTTTGTTTATTAAACAAATATATATATATATAAATAAAGTATAAAACTGGATGGGCAAGAGTTAGTTGCTTATATGGGGTGTCTTTGCCCTCTTCCTTATTCTTATTGATAGACCAAAGCCACCCCATTTAAAAGCATAATTACGTAAAATATGCGTCATCACCCTCAATATTATAACGAACTTCTGCATAATACTTACCTCAATATAGCGTGGTTAACTATTGCAGCCACGTAGAAGTTTGAAACGCAGAAAATAGGCTTTAAAAACAGATTTGGCTTCACAGCACTGTAACTGCTACATCACAACTGACGGCAAGCGTTTAGCGACGTTCCGATACGTGAGGCGCCTCCACCCATAATTTACCGATAACACATAACGCGTTCTTTTCAAGTAGTGGCTACGGCTACGTCTAACATATTTTCGGACGGAATTTGGAAAAGTCCCCCAAGAGGTAAAGTCACCCCATTTTACGGTATAGAAATAAATTTAGTATTCTTACCTATTATCGTCCAAATGCATGTTAATAGATAATTAATATTTTGGATTTTTGTCTTTTATTTTTAAATATATTTTTGGAACCGCTGGTTTTAGTAATTTTCAGCGTTCTTCTTTTCCAAGCTACCTCTGACGCCGTCTTTTTATACGATCGTATTGTACCGTATGATCGAAAAAAGAAACGGCGTCCAGTTGGCTGGGAAATGACAATCGATTACATTTCCCATATAAATTTACATTTAAAATGTCAGCGATCTTCATTTCATAGCCATCGCTGACGCCTTTTTTTTCGATCACACGGTATTATCGCATTAAATTAAAATTATATTGACAAGTTGATACAGGGTGTTTCAAAAAACATGTGCCATCTCTCGTGGGGAGATTCCTCACGTAAAAATAAGATTTATTTTTCATATTAACATAGGTCCGATTCTCTTTTGTTTCGTAGATACAGAGTGTTAGTCTTAATATTTTTTCGATTTACTATAATTTTCTTCCAGGTACTTTTAGCGTTTCGAATGAATTTTTGGGGGTAGAAGTTACTATAAATGCGACATATTTTAAAGCTAAAAAAGTGTACATATCTACCAGGGACGTGCATACGGATTATCACTGGAATATTTATCTAAAAAAAGCATATGCGCCACTGACTTTTTCTCTTTTGTTAGCGAAATACTGTAAGCATTTTAATGCCGACTAAAGGTCTGTTCCCAGAAGAATCCCTGACTAGTCAGCACGTTTCTCATTGGTTAAAATGCGTAGAAACCTGATTGTTAGTCAGGTTTCTACGCATTTCAACCAATAAGAAACGCGCTGATTGTTAGTCAGGTTTAACTTTGATTGTTAGTCAGGTTTCTACGCATTTCAACCAATGAGAAACGCGCTGACTAGTCAGGGATTCTTCTGGGAACAGACCTTAAAAGTCGTCTCTTGATATTTTGTCAATTTCGGCGTCTTTGATGAGATAAACACAATTTTATTAAGTTGCCTTGATCCAATAAGTCTAATAGCAACCTTAAACATTTTTAATATAATTAACTTGCGAAACTTTTAAATAAGTACTCGTTGATTCCTCATCAATATGAAAAAAAGTTCCTATGAACATGGGTATGGAAATGCATAGTTTTAGAGTTACAGGATGTTAAATTTTTTCAAATTAGATTTTTTGTATTAATTATCTTAAATACCTTTATTTTTTATTTGAAATTGCTGTAGGTTGGACTAATAGTAATAATAACTAATAGGAATAATATTTAATAATAAAATATGTAATTTATTAATTTTAATTTTATTAATTGTGATTGATAAAATTGTGTTTATCTCATCAAGGAGGCTGAATTCGACAAAATATCAAGAGATAACTTTTAATTGGCGTTACACGATCTTTATATCAACCCTGTATATTATTACATTTTTAGTTTCTACGATTAAAATAAAGGTAAATTTGATTAAGGTTTATTATACTTAAACCTTATCGTTTTTGAAATATTTTCAATTTTGTGAAATTGCAGTAAAAATTTTAAGGCTTCATTTCTCCAAGGGTATCAAAGTTTTTAATACTAAATATTTACTGAAGTTTATTTACTGATCAGTTATTGTGTTGCAATAATAGAAATAATACTACCTTATACAGAGTGTCTAAAAATGTATTTTAAATAATTATTATTATTACTATTCAAACGGCAATAACTTGTTTAATTTAAATGGAACACCCTGTATATTTTACGAGAATCAGATGCACAATTTAATTGTCTATCAAATTATATTATACCATTTTTTACCTATCTCTTTAAGTTTCCGTAGAAAATGCATTTTCTTGTAATTTAGAACTTATTTATCAATATGGACTATTGACATTTTAGATTATTTTTAAAGATGTACCAAATTTTTAAAGAGTACAGATACTAATATTGTCGTATAATTCGTTTATTTCATTAAAAAATAAAAAAAACTGTTTAAATATTTGTTAAAGAGGATCAATTAATATGATTCCAGTATTGAAACTACATTTACTGACTGTTTGCGTTGATTAATAATAATTGCTCCAAATACTAAAAAACTGAATTTTGTATGGGCATTAGACAGTGTGATAAAAAGTAACACCTTAAAAATGATATTTCATTTTTTAATAAATGCTTATTTATAACAACAGAGACTTTAATTTGATAACTTATTATATTGATTTCTGACTCAAATCCACATTTATTTATAATAATTTATTAACGAACACAATTAAGTATGTAATTAATTAGTATATGGGCGGAAATAATGGTGTTATATTTAATAAATGGTATACTCTTTTATAAAGATTTAAATAGTTTTCTTTTTGCATACAAATTTCTTTTTGCATACAACATACTGTTTTAGCAAAACGATAATATTACTAGCCTGTACATTTTGTACATTTGTTGCTTTAAAAACAATCTAAAATGTCAATATTCCATGGATATATTGATAAATGAGGTCTAAATTATAAGAAAATGCATTTTCTACGAAAACTTGAAGGGATAGGTAAAAAATGGTATAGTACAATTTGATAGACAATTTAATTGTGCATCTGATTCTCCTAAAATATACAGGACATTCCAGTTAAATTAAAGAAGTTATTGCCGTTTGAAGCTAATAATTATTTAAAATAAATTTTTAGACACTCTGTATAAGGTAGTATTACTTTTATTATTGCAACACAATAACTGATCAATAAATAAACTTCATTAAATATTTAGTATTAAAAACATTGATACCCTTGGAGAAATAAGCTTTAAAATTTTACTGCAATTTCACAAAATTGAAAAATATTTCAAAAACGGTAAGGTTTAAGTATAATAAACCTTAATCAAATTTACCTTTATTTTAATCGTAGAAACTAAAAATGTAATAATATACAGGGTGTTCCATTTAAAAAAATACAACTTTGATATTTTTTACTTATTTGGGACACTCTGTATCTTGTAAAAATATTTTTAAATTGTAGCTCTAATAGTCCTTCAACGAACCCCAAACTTACCATTTGTAAAAATCTCATCGTTTAGCTACAATACTCCGTGTCGTATGTGGTGAACAACCCTGTATAAAATATTTAACACTTATAGTAACTTTTACCCTCAAAATTTCATTCGAATCACTAAAAGTACTTAAAACAAAAAAATTCTAATAAATTGAAAGATTATTAAAATTTTAACACCCTGTATCTACAAAACAAAGCAGAATCGGACCCATGTTGATATGAAAAATAAATCTAATCTAATTTTTACGTAAGAACATGTTTTTTGAAACACCCTGTATAAATACTACAATATGATCTAAAAAACGGCATCACATGGCTATGAAATAAAGGCCGCTGTTATTTTATACGTAAAATTCTATGGGGAATGTGATCGATGTTGATTTCTAAGCCAAGTGGACGCCGTTTTTTTTTTATCATACGGTATTTATATTTATTTTTAATATTTTTTTTTGTAGCAGGACAAAGATCAAGAAGATGAAGACGTTTGGGCTGTAGAAGAATCTGAATCACAACAAGAAACTGAACAGAAACCCCAACCTGTTTGGATAACAGATAGCAAAAACAATATTAAATACGCCATAACGCATTTAAATTATGCCCAGGTATTTAATTTTCTTTAATTTAAAAATTGTGCTAATTTATTAAGTTATCATAATCAGGGTTGGGCAACGAGGCGTAGAAAATTGAGTTTCTAAGTGTATACAGGGTGGCGCACCTCATTCGCCTCGATTGATTATACGAAAAAAGGAAAGATGTAGAAACAAAATATTTTATAGGTATATGTAGGGAGTCAATGTGCATAATTTAAAATTATTTTGAAATATACAGGGTGTCTCAGAGTTAAGATCCATACCAAAGTTATATTTTACATACATTGCTTTTCAGAATTAATTCTTGTGCTGAGTTTAAAGGCAAAGAAATAAACTTTACTGAAAAATGTTAATACTTATTTATTAATTTATACAGAAAAATTTTTACCAAAAATTAGTTATTTATTTTAAGGATTTATTTTACATAAAAACTTTGTTATTTCAAATGCAATACCCTGTATTTTTTTAAATAAATCGAAGCAGATTAAAATGCTCTTTCAAACTATATTAGGGTTTCCTATACCTATCTATTTCAGATTTTGAATAAAAAGCGATTTTTAAATAAAATGGCAATCAAGATGGCTGGTATCGCCATGGCAGTTTTCTAGTGACAGTTACTAACTATTTTTAAAATCGACATTAGTTAGACTTTATTTAAATTTATACCAGTTTACTTTTATTTAATTGACCTACAATAGTTTAATAAATAATATTTATTTATTATTCTATCAAGAAAAACGAAGAAGTAGTTCTTTGTTTTATTTTATGATAACTTGTAGATATATGATTTTTTTATAAAAGAGCCAATTACGGCAAATTCAATTTCTTCACTTCCAACGACAGGTTTCTGCCTAATAGTTTTTTTATAAACTACACTACCAATTCTGCGAAATAGGAAATAGGACAAGTAGTTTTTCAAAGGAACGCTTATCAGGAATATTCCTATTTGGACATCTCTTGAGGCTAAGAAATAATTTTCCTCACAAAACAAAATCACTAGTAGGTAACATATATCCATTCGTTCCACCAGCAGATATGGCTTTATTTTTCATCATAAAATAAAGAATACTTACTTATTAAACTATTGTGGGTAAATTTTAGTAAACTGTTTAAATAATAATGTCCATACACTAATGTCGATTTTGAAAATAGTTACTAACTGTCAGTAGAAAATTGCCATGGCGATACCAGCCATCTTGATTGCAATTTTATTTAAAAATCGCTTTTTATTCAAAATCTGAGATAGATAGGGATATGAAACCCTAATATAGTTTGAAAGAGCATTTGAATCTGCTTTGATTTATTTAAAAAAATACAGGGTGTTGCATTTGAAATAACAAAGTTTTTATGTAAAATACTCGGTAAAATAAATCCGTAAAATAGATCACTACTTTTTGGTACCCCTGTATAAATTTAAGAAAACAATAACATTCTTCAGTAAAGTTTATTAACTCATTATAACTCAGCACAAGAATTGATTCTAAAAAGTAATGTACAGGATGTTGATAATTAATTCTCTTGTAGCATGCATATTTATATATCTCAAAAACCAATGATTTTAAACATATTTCACCCTTATAATAAATGCCTTTTTTGGGCCCAAGAATCCAAAAATGAAATAAAATACCGGGTGTGTGTGTTCCATAAGAAAAAATATAACTTTGGTATGGATCTTAGTTCTGACACACCCTGTATATTTCAAAATAATTTTAAATTGTGCACATTGCCTCACCACATATACCCATAAAATATTTTGTTTCTACATCTTTCCGTTTTCGTATAATCAACCGAGGCGAATGAGGTGCGCCACCCTGTATATAAAAGTCCGTAGAAAATGTAAAATATGTAGAATATTAAGTAGAAATTGTATAAAATCCGAGAACAGGTACAGAATTAATTTTGTATCTTTAAAGCCGCTTTTTTCACTTTAGAAGTTTCTTCCTTGATTTTAAAACTTGCTGTTAAAACTGTAATATGTGTGGGCGCGTTATCTGTCAATTCTGTGACGGTACTAACTCCTTGAAGATATAAGAGACAGTAATCAATCTGAAGGCTATTAGAATATTTTTTTATTTAATCTAAAGACCGTACAGAAAAGTCTGATTTTTATAAGTTTTTGTTATCCCTTTTCTTTAATTTTACCCTAGAAAGCTTGTGGTTTCATAAACTATATGCATCTAATAATAATTATTGTAGTTTGTAGTTCTTACTCTCATTATCTTAGATATTATCTTTTTTTTATTGCTGTGTTTAAAGTCTTACCAAAGTTTACAGAATTACACAGAATTATTCTGTAAACTTTGATTTTCCTATTGAAAACTTTTTTGTTAGACGTAAAACATACTATAGCAACTATAACTTCCACTATACAGGACATTCACTATATAGTTTCGACTATACAGGGTGTCCCAGAAATAAGTGCAAATATTTTAACTGGTAGTATAGTTCAACCCCAGAAACACGCCTATGAGGTTTTTTTGCGAAAAAAAAATGTTGAAAATTTAAAATTTTTCTTGACATTTTCCGGGAAATTTGAAAAAACTTTTTAGTGCCACTTGTTTATTCACCCTACGGTGTATCTAAACCTTGCAGTGTTGCAACCTCCTATGTTCTCCTATGTTCTCAACTCAAAAAATTAGGAATGTTAAATTTAATCCCTTATCAGTGCTCATTATTAATAATTATAGAAAAAAAACACATTAATTATTTTTAGTACTTACCCTTTCAATGAAAACTTAACAAAAACCACTGAAAATTAACTAAAACATTACGTTTATGACGTTTACGAAAATCTTTGTTATGCTGCAAAATAACTTTATTTCGGAATAAATTTAATAAAATGATTCATATTATTCACAATCAGGTCACAAAAAGAAATTCCTAAAATGTTTATCGTAATATAGAATTCAATTAATAATCGATTCATTTTTGTTTTGTTTGTTTTCTTTCATGTTTCTCTCTTTTATTTGAACCACTGTTTTACAAAACACCTTGAAAGCGCACATTACTGTGTATACACAATAAATGTTGAGAATTATTGAATCTTATTACTTTACGAACTACTTTCAATCTAAGAAAATACATGTTTCACTCAACAATTATTGACAACGTATTTTGTTTTTTCGCTATTTTTTCGATGTATTTCGACAATTCCATCGACAGCCTAACCGTCAGACAAGAACTGCCGCGTGTGAACTGGTCCTTTGAGTCGCCGGTCGCCGCGCCGTCGTGGCGGGCTTGCGTCAGACGACGATGTTAAGCAACGTTGCCGTAGTTACAACAATTTCAAATTCAAGACATTCGAAGCAATCAAATTCGTATTACATTTTTTAAATAAAACAGAAACATGAAAGGAAATAAACAAAACAAAAATGAATTGATTATTCGTCGGGCTGTTTTCGATGTATTGAATTCTGAATTACGATAAACATTTTAAAAATTTCTTTTTTGTGACCTTATCAATAACCAATTCATTTGTGTTTTGTTTGTTTCCTTTCATGTTTTTCTGTTTTATTTTTAAAATTTAATAAGAATTTGATTGCTTCGAGTGTCTTAAATTTGAAATTGTTGAAACTACGGCAACCTCGCATGACGCAAGTTCGACACGGCGGCGCGACAAAGGAGCAGTTACCAGTTACCAGTGATGCGCCGCTCTCTTGGCCGACGGCCGACGCGACGGTTGGGCTGTCAATGGAATTGTTGAAATACATAGAAAAAATAGCCAAAAAACAAAATACGTATTTAAAATTGTTGAGTGAATCATGTATTTTCTTAGATTGAAAGTAGTTCGGAAAGTGGCGGTAAGAGACAATAATTCTCAACATTTATTCATTCAGAAAGGTATTCAAAGTAATGTGTGCTTTTCAAGGTGTTTTGTAAATCAGTGGTTCAAATTGTGATAAGGCCTATATGAAAATAATGTGTTAAAAATGGGGACTGTTATTTTAGTAGTTATTATAATAGCATGTACAAGTAAAGCAGCACAGTGAAGTATATTTTAGTTAAGTGTATATCGAAAAAGAGAACTGTCACAGTTACATCGATCTGTCATAAGTATCTTTTTTAATGTTGGGTAAGTTTTTTAATTTAACTTTTTTAACACATTTTTTAACACATTATTAAACATTTAACTTTTAATTTATTTTATGTAATATCACAATCTTAAAAATGTAATGCATTTCTGCAAACTCCTCAGGTGTTGTCATTTTATGACTTACTTTTAACATATACTTTCTTGTCCCTATGGCAACACAGTGCGTCGAATTAACTGAAATCCGGGCTTGATCCGGGTAATTGGATGTAGTTAGCGATATCTGCCGGCGGTTCTCAAAATGTTGCGATTATTTTTTTAAATTTTCAAAGTTAAATAACTCGGTTATTTTCAATTTATTTTAAAAATGGTAAAGAGAAAATATATTTATTTTGACCAGATCTACCACCCCTTAAAATATCTGCACTCATTTCTGGGACACCCTGTATAGTCCCAGAAATAAGTGCAAGTATTTTAAGGGGTGATAGATCTCGATAAAAGAAACATATTTTCTCTTTATCGTTTTTCAAATAAGTCCAAAATAACGGAGTTATTTTACTTTGAAAATTTCAAAAAAAAATATTTTTTGCTAGATTTTGAGAACCACTGGATCTTTTCTGGATTTTCTTTCTTGTAAATTTAATCTAATACCTATGTTGCCATATTATCAAGAAATTATGTTTTTTAACTAAAAACTAAAAAAAAATCCAAAAAATTTCGAATTTTCAATTTTTTTTTTCGCGAAAAAAACCTCATATGCGTGTTTCTGGGGCTGAACCAAAGACATCTAAATGGGTAGACAGAACACTCAATTTTTTAGAATCATACATGGTTTGACACTTTTATGAGAGTTAAAAAGAGATGGGTACATAAATATGACAACACGGTTGAATTTCGTCTATCCTTCTGTCATTTGGCTCTATCAGTGGCGTGACGTTTTTTTTTATCTAAAATTGATGACTTTTATCAAAAATTGATTGTG